GGCATGGGGGAAGGGGTTTTATCAGGAGGGAAAACATGCGCAAAGACATGAAGATGGCAAAAAATGGGGCCTGGTTGGGAATAGCAACTATCTAAGTTGAATGGAGTGCAAAGTGTACATGGAAAAATGGAAAAGAAATGGAGAGATTAAAGTAAATGGAGAGATTAAGTAAACTTGCATGGTATGTTGAGGAAGCATGCTTAGTTGTATAGATCTACAAAATCCCTTAGACATATAATGCAAACTGTCAGTACGGTTTTAGATTTGTATTGAGCATGTCATAGGCCTGGTCCTATGCTAGTGGTTAAGGAAGCCAGATCCCATGCAACTAACTGCACAGTTTAAATCCCAGCCCTGGCCACTTGAAAAACACTCTGAGGCATGTGTGTGTGTTCCCAAATTCTGATGAGATGGAGAAATGGAGGATAAGGGATCAAAGCACAACCACACCCCGTTGGGGGGTACTTTCTCCTACTCTCTCACTGTCTCTCTCTCACTGATAAGTGCACGTTCCATCTAGCATCTAAAAAGTCACTTCATAAAGGTGAAATCTGTTAAGCCATGTTCCATATTTAACCCAATGGATTCATAATATTGTCATTCCAACTTGTAATCTATATTAAAATTATGAAGATATTTATATTTCTTTTTTGTATTGCCTTCAAAACTCAAGACTGTATTTTGTAACTCCAGCCCATCTCACTTTGTAATGTGAAAGAAAATGACATCATTAAGGCTAAAACTTTCTAGAGTGGATTTGAGAGATTGCAAGAGGACTGAAGGTAAAGGTAAAGACACAGAATGTTCCAATAGACTTGGATAAACAACTAAAGTCAGTATCTTGCAGCCTTCAGCATCTCAGCTGCGAGCACCATAATTAACCAATAAGAATGGATTTACAATTTGGAATTTCTGCCCAGACAATGAACTGCCTCCAAAACAGCACTGTGGAAATGCCCTGGAACAACCCTTGACTGCGTGCTTGCCTTATGTCACACCACTCAGGGCTGCCTTGATTCAGCAATTCTTTGTTTCTCGAGTAAATGGTATTTCTTTTTACCCCCAAGTCAATCTTTTGTGAACAATAATAACCACATCTCAAGGGCTCCTAAACCACAGGTGGTTGTTGGCTACGACATTGAAGAACACAAGTCTTTGCAATGAGCCACTGACAGTTTGGAACAGGACTGTCACATTATGAGTTTGTTAAAAGTACACAGAAGACAACAGAAAGAGCTCCCAGTGGACAAGATTGAAATAATTTGGGCAAGGGAATAATATAACTCAAAGTATAAAACTATTATAAAGTATAAAATAAATAGCCATCATTTAGTACAGACATAAATAATTGACTATGTGAATTAATGATGGACAATAGATTAATGTCCAATACAGAAGAACTCCCAGTAACTTATGTAGATAGTCCTCTAGGTAAAGAAGAATAACTCCTTAAGTACAAGCCATGTCTAATGACTTCTACCCCAAGAGTACAAAATGGAGGAGAAAAATACGTTTTCAGAGGCGAAATCTGAGGATACTACCTCAGTCGGGTGATCAAGATAAGCATCAAGAATAAAATGTATTAGTAGAAGGTACCCTTGGTGTGAGGTGATAAACATGGCAGTTTACTCTCTGGTCTTACTCTCCAAAATGAATAACTCCATTCTTTTTTTTTTTTGGAGAGTTTTTTTTTTGCTATAGGGCGCGTGCGCTCGCCAGACAGACAAAGAGAGACAGAGAGACAGAAAGAGAGAAATAACCCGCCAGGGGGGATGGCCACGCCGCAGTCCCTTCTCCTCCATTCTCCTCTCGGGATCTTGGGCATGCATGCATACGCGCCCGGCGTGAGTTTAAGCCACCAGGTCCGGGATGCGAATCGCGGTCGACTACATGGGAGTCCAGTGACATAGCCATTACGCTAACTGCTGGTCCCACTCCGTTCTTTTTTTTAAAGAATCTGGGAGTCCAGCACACCAACCACCAGGCCACCTGCTGGCCCCATAATCATTATAAAAACATTAAGGGACATTGTATAAAATGATCAGTAGACCAGTATTCCACAAAACTGTCAAGGTCATAAGAAACAAAGATGGTATGAGAAACCGTAATAGCCAAGAGGAGACTATTAGACAGCATCTAAATGTAAAGTAATATCCTGTGTGAGCTTCTTTTTTGTTTTTTGAGAGGTTTTCACTATAGAGTGCATGCCCTCGCTAGACAGACAGAGAGAGACACAGAGACAGAAAGCGAGAAATCACCCCCCAGGGGGGATGGTCACGCCGCAATCCCTTCTCCTCCATTCTCCTCTCGGGATCTTGGGCACGCACGCACATACGCACGGCGTGAGTTTTAAACCGCCGGATCTGGGACACAAACCGCGGTCGACTACATGGGAGTCCAACGACATAGCCATTACACTAACTTTTGGTTCCCTCCTGTGTGAGCTTCTGAAACAGAAAAAAGATAGCAGATAGGGGCCAACGGGTGGCATGATGGTTACGGCGCTGAATTCCCACATGGCTGACCACAGTTTGAGTCCCGGGCCTGGCAGCTTGCTTTCTCATTTTTTTTTTCTCTCTCTCACTCTGTTTGTCTCTCTCTTGTGACATGTGCCCTATAGCAAAATTAAAAAGTAATAATAAAATCAGTCTTTAAAAAAGAACAGTTAATAAAAAATTAATAATAATGCACTTATATTGGCTCATTATTTATGACAAATATACCATATTTACATGTGAATAATAGGGGAAATCGGGTGTGAGGCTTGTGAGAATTCTCTATACTGTCTATGCAATTTTCCTGTAAATAAACTATCCTAAAATAAAGTTTCTTTCTTTTATGAGCAAGAGAGATAGAGAGAGGGAGAGAGGGAAGTAAAGTGACAGGAGAGAGCATACCAACAGAGTTTTGACACCATGATCCACTCCAGCCTTCAGTCAGCCCTGGGCCAGTACTCAGGGAAGCTTCTGGATTTGAACTGAGAAATTTCCCATATGGGATTGTCTCATTTTACTGAGCATTGTGTTTTACTGCTGTGTCACTATCTAGCCCCAAAAGTTTACTTTTTAGAAACAGTATAGTATGAACCAGTATATTTGAATAATTACCTCTGAAATGGAAAATAGATATGATTCATCTTCTCATAGATTTAAAAATAAACAAGTTCAAGTAGTGTTCTGAAGAAAGATGGAGTGACAGAGTTTCAAGTCTCAGGATGGTGTTGCTATTCTTAACAAAAGCAGATATAAAATGAGATATTTTGAAATATTGAAGTGGTGAAGGACATTGTGCTCTTGAAGATAGTACAAAAGATGTGAAGTGGTAGATTTAGAAGAGATTTGTCCTGAATATCAGTAAGTGCGTTGTATACATTGTTTTAACATTTCTTATGAAGAATGAAACAAAACGTATTTAAGCGTATATGAAACAAAACGTGTTTAAATGATTAAAGTAAACATAGTATTCATGTCCCTCAGATATTGACTGAGGGGACCGATGCCTTCGATGCATTAGACTCATCTACACAGATGAGAATCAGCTGCCGTCACAGATCTGCCATTGGCAACGTCACCACTTAGCCCAAAGGTGAGGCATCTGCTAGGGCAGGTTGGTCAGCAGATAACGCTCTTTGTCTACCTGTTTTTCCTTTCTCTTACTAAAAGATGCCCCATTTGGTTTAAAGGGGGCAACCAGCTTATCTAAAATTAATTCAATATCCAGACATCCTTAAAGCTAGCAGTGGCCACACAAAACAACGGTGGCCAGAGGGGAATCCAGAGAATTTCTGGATTCAGAGGTTTGTCTTCTTAGTCACATGTACAAACTATTTTTCCCTGTGTTTTCCCCTTCCTCCCTATCACAGGGGTTCTATGCTAGAGTGTACCTGTGACCACGAGGCTGTAAATCTTGAGTATGAAACCACATACTAGGGAGGGCAGGATGGACAGATGGACAGCCAGTCTTTGGTAATACTTCTGGGCAGTTACCCTCGTCTCATTAACTGAAATGAATAGTGTTGGGGACAGCAGGTTAAGGCATTAGACTCCCACGTGGTCAACCATGGTTTGAGTCCTGAACATGGAGCTTTGAAACTCATGCTGGACACATGTGCATACCAGCCCCAAATTCCAGAAGAATGGAGGAGAAGTGATTGTCCTGTGATCATCCACCCTGGGGGTAATTTCTCAGTTTCTGTCTCTCCAGCAAGTGCATGTACCCTATATCAAAAATCTCTCTGTGGGACCAGCAGTTAGCATAATGGCTATGTCACTGAACTCCCATGGAGCCATCTGTGGTTCGAGGCCCAGACCTGGTGGCTTAAACTCATGCCGGGCGTGTAAGTGAATAGTGTCGTTCTTAGGTTCTATTCCTGCAGTGAGAAATAGTCCTTATTGAAACAGTTCCCTAAACTGATTGTGCGATTTCAGGTAAGACATCCATCAAGAATGAATAAGGGGACCAGCATTTGGTGTAATGGCTATGTCGCTGGACTCCCATGTAGTCGACCACGGTTCAAGTCCCAGACCTGGTGGCTTAAACTCACTCCAGGTGCATGTGCGTGCCCAAGATCCCAAGAAGAGAATGGAGGAGAAGGGATTGCAGCGTGGCCATCCCCTCTGGGGGGTGATTTCTCGTTTTCTATCTCTCTGTCTCTCTCTGTCTGGCGAGCGCACGCGCCCTATAGCAAAAACCTCTCTAAAAAAAAAAAAAAGAGTGAAGAGGGAAGAGAGTATTGATTTAGCGAATCAATTCAGCTCATAATCACACCACCAACAGTCTGCTAATGTAGACATATCATGTCAGTGTCCTGGTAACCCAGCTTTTACCAGCCAGTTTCCTGTCTTGATTCAGAAGCAGTTGATCTGTAAGGGAATGGTGGATTATGCTATTTCTTTGCTTCCTTGTTATCTCCAGGCTTATCTTCATATCCAGTGACTATTGAAGCAGCTTCATAGCAAATGCATTTTCTTAGAAAATTGTTATCTGTTAAATACCAATTTAAGATAATACATTACAAATGTACACGTGAACAAAATACCTCCCATACTTAATGACTTATGTTCTCTTGCCAAAAAGTTAATGTTATATAACCAGACATAAAGGGACCAGCAGTTGGCATAATGGCTATGTTGCTGGACTCCCATGTAGTCGACCACGGTTCAAGTCCCGGACCCAGTGGCTTAAAACTCACGCTGGACGCGTGTGCGTGCATGCCCAAGATCCCGAGAGGAGAATGGAGGAGAAGGGATTGTGGCATGGCCATCACCCCTGGGGGGGGGGATTTGTTGCGTTCTGTCTCTCCATCTCTCTCTGTCTTTCTGGTGAGCACATGCACCCTATAGGAAAAACCTCTCTAAAAAATAAATAAATAAAATAAAACAGACATACAACAAAAACAAAACAAAGTAGAATAAAATCAGACTACATGAGCACAAAGACTTTTTCTGGGGGGTTGATTTGATTTGATTTGATTTTTTTTTTTTTATCAGAAGCATCCCAGCAGAGGACATAAGTTGTTTCATGAATTTTTTTTTTTTTTTTTGTGAGCAGATCACTCTCTATACATGAGTATTTCAAGTTAATGAGAAATGTTTGTATTATTTGTTACACTCATAAGCTCCTCTATTTTATTGTAAAAGACTGTTTAAAGTTCAATTTTCCTTCATGAGAATGAGAGAGAGAGAGACTCTCAACAGGGTCTTAGTGCTACCCATTTCCTCATCTTTCTAGCCAACCAGGCTCATGCGCACACATGCCCACCACTTACAGGTTGATGAGCAAATCGAACCTGCTGCATCTTCCATATGGGTCCAACATTGCTTGAACAGTGTGTTATCACTTGGTCCCTGGACTGGGCCCTCCTGGTTTCATTTGCATAGCAGTTTCCAGGTAATAAAACTGTCTGAGATGTTTGTAAGAGATTCAATACTAGAAGCCTCAGAAGAAAAATTTTGTTTAGAAGGAAGTACCAGGTTGTCAGAAAAATCTTGACACATTTTTGCATACAACAACATAAAAAAAAAATGTCATGATGCTTCCAGTGACCCAATAGATTATATAAAAGGGGATCTAAACAAAGATGTACTTCAGGCGATTTATCTTAAAATGTATCGTGTTTTCTTGAAAATTTCTTACATTTTATCTAAATACTTTTAACTGATTCCTTTATAGTTTTTATTGCTTTTACTGTCAAGAAAGTATATATGTCTCCATAATATAATTTAACAGTTTCAATTTGCAATTGAAATTGTTCCCCTTGCTATAAAGGGTGAACTTCTAGTGTAGTCTACTCTTTGGATTTAAAATATAATGATTTTATGCACTTTGTAGTG